TTAAAAAAAAAAATAGTTTTATCAAAATAACCAATAAAAATATCATCAATCACCACCTATCACGACCATTCGTACTAAAATAGAGTATTTATTTAGTGGCATAATTAATTAAAATACTTAAATACATAAAACCCAGTTTGAGTGTCATCTTTATACGCAATAAAACGGCTCAGAGAAGCCATAAAGTAAATTGAACGGTTTCCATTAAGCATGCGTTAAACGACGACCGCTTGCGCCCGCGGACGCTGCGCGAATGAGCAAAAAAGCGACCGAGACACTCATCTGACAGCAAACGCTGGGTGGGGCTTACCGCATCCCGCCTCTCAAAACGAGCCCCACCATTGGCCCATTTAAAAATCGATTCCATTTTATAAATATGTAACCGCTTCCGTTCGATGCGCACCAAACAGTTCCAAATTCAAACCACCCTCGTTCCATTCTCACTTTTATTAACGGGCGCGAAAATTGAAAATGGAACTGCAGGGGAGTAGTGATGTGACGTTTACGGTCGATACGAAGTCAATTGTTTTACCGACATGTCTTTGTAGCCTCTTTTGTTTTATTTAAAAGAGTCTGTGCCCAAGAGATGTATTTTTTTCTCGGCGTTCAACCAGACTACGATAACGCACTCCTTTTTTGTCATAGGCGTGTGTCTACGAAATAAACAATGAACCGCATGTAGGTGGGTGAAATTGAATCGGTAATAAATAATGGTGTATTTATGATTTACGATGAAACAGGGGACCTAAAGCGATATTCAGATTATGGTAGTAATATACTGGTTCTTATTTAAGTAGTAATAGTTACGAACGTTATAATTTATTGTTGAGGTTATGCGTGATATGTAAATGTTATTATTATAATGCAAGGAAATGTTACCCAATTTTATTTGTAAGTAGCCACACGGACTTTATGGTGTCCATATAACACTGTTTCGTGTCATAGCTTTTTTCTTTCAGTTATAAAAATCCAAATCCTACGCACAGAATTAGAATTCGAAAAAAAAGCAAGGTACGCAGTAAAAGCTTGATCGAACAAAAATCAAAATCCGTAAACACTAGTTACTTCAAAGTGTTAGAGTAGAGATAGAGCTATCAAAATTGTCCTACTAAATTACTATTCATGTTTGGGAACTGTGAAAATGGGAACATTTCGTTCAGAATACCTATGTCACGATACTCACGAACACGAGTCATGCGGAAGAAACAAAACACATCTAAATACAACAGACAAAATAATTACTTTTGCTTGTCTGAAACCAACGTCACGTGACCATAAAAGGAGACCCTAAAATAAAATGATTTGGTAGAGATTAATTTCGAGACTTAATTCATTGTAATAATTAATTAAAATATCCAAGAAACAAGGAAAATAATAACTCAGACGTCCATCAAAACAGTCGGAGCGTTACTAAAAGTTGTTAAGTAAAAAACTCTTGTTCAAATTAGAAGCGAGCAAATCCGCGCCTGCGGAAAAGTACTTTTTATCGTAGATGAGACGAGGTTTTTTATAATTGGTCTTGCTTTTACAATTTACTACAGGGGTGTAGGTGTGATGGGATGAGTTTACCCAGAATAAGTCCTATTCAATGTAGGTATTTAGCGTCTTGAAGATCTATGTTTCAGGCTAGTTGAGTAGTTAGAGATTTGCGGACTTCTTCTTTTTACCAAGAAATTTATCACTATTTCGTAATTTCCATTAATGTTTGTTGTAGGAACTTTATCACTGGAACTAGCAGTAGGTACTGGCACCATGCGATATGTTAGCTCATTTATCATATCATAGTTGTATCCGTTGTATCATACTTTGCAAATAAAAATATTTTTAAAAGGGTGAGTCTACCCTACTACCTCATCCACAGCATAATGTCCTTTTATCTAAATAGCGCTTCATTTTCGTAATTGCTGTAGCGGGGTCAGTACTTAACTTACGGGACATTTTAATTTTGTTTTCAATTACATTTAGTACACCTTTGAGCGATTAAGATTTTTTGATGCAAGTTAGGGGGCCGTTAGTTTCATCATTTACTAAAAGTGTATTATAATTAAACCATGATTGTAATTGCCAATTTACAACCTAACAGCATAATATCTGGGAATCATTAACCAAAAATATCTCGAAGCAAAATAGTCAACAGCACATCAGAAACTACATTCGTGTCGCAAAATGCACCTTCAACTACGTAATTATTATTATGATGCCAGTCTTTTCCTTGATGTCCCATGACCTATACCTACATAAGTATAGCGATAATACCACACTCCGACCCTCAGTGTCAACGCGCTTGCAATTTTGTGCAATAAGAAGCACTCCACGCAAAACCCCCTACCCCTTACTTCCTCAAAATCTTCGGCGTGCAGGCGCAATCAAACTCGTGGTAACCGCGAAATGGCAAAACAAACGCCGCATGTTGCTATTATGAATATTAAATTTCACCCCTCACTTGGGTAAGGGTGCGGTAAATGTCGGTATCGATGCTTTTGAAAGTCCATTTGTTGGGGTTGGAGGTAAAAGCTAGTTTTCTACAGTTTATTCTTCGTTCAATTTGCTGTAAATACACGCAAATTTTACTTTCATTTATACCTAAACAACACACGAATATTACATTCATTATACAAGTAGGATTATGAATAGAAGAGAAGAATCTATAGAAGAAGCATAGTAGAAAAGTTTTCGAGTAGCGACCACGGACCGGGAGACGTAGCTTAGGCAGGCCCCCCACTAGATGGACCGACGATCTGGAAAAGGTCACTGGAATAACGCGGGCAGCGCAGGATCTGTCGTTATGGAAAAATCTTTGGGGGAGATAGTAGGTACTTACTTAAAATGGGAATCCGTAGTCGATCTCTTCGATGTCATCTGTAGATACTCGTAGGCTCGTAGCAGTATGTTCATTTCAAGAGAGCTTTGCACTACGAGCCTATTTTCGGGATAGCCTATTAAGTAGCCTAATTGAGTTATTAAAACAAATCTCATTTTCGCTTTTGTGGAGCCTCACTTCGTAAACGCTTTTCCATGTCTAGTATAGTCAAATGTTTTTCTTTAACTTATACTTGCAATTTCTCCTTTTTTATTGCAACATCAACCCACAGTCTAAACTCCAACTTTGTGGCTGGTACAATCCTAATAACAATTCGTCATTCTTAAAACTAATGAGTTCATATTATTTTATCGACCTTTCCCACCCCTACGGCCGCCATGCCGGCAGAGATTTCGCGCCAATTTTCGCCGCGGGGTGGCCTGTAATGAATACCACAGATAATAAACTGCGTTCCGTTCGTCACATGCGGCGAGATTGGCCGTCGAGGGCACTCCGGCTGCATTTCACGGTTCCTTGGCCTCACTATTAACTTTGAAGTAAATAGAAAAAATAATAAGTGCAACCTGTGCGTTTTTGGTGGTCATTAGAGCCTATGTTATTAAAATAAAAGTAAAAAGTATAATAACTTGTTTTGATAGACGTTATGGTTCGACTTCCCTCAAGTTCAAAGCGAATAACAAGGTGACTAAATAAAGGTTTGAATAACCTTTATGAAAAGATTACACCATGGACGGTAAGCATCAATTATGGGGACCTATCTTGCGAGGTGTTAGCTACCTGCCATTAATACCTGGATCTGGACTGGAGCTATGTAATGCCTAAAATAAATAAGCAAAACCCTTACTGCTAAAATTTAAGAAGTAACATACGTAGCAAACCTAAATTGCCAGCACCCAAGTTCAAAATACTGCATCTTAAAAAAATACAATTCATTATGGAACATCCTTTGCCTCCAACCGGAGTAACCAGTTTGCTAGACCCCCAAAACTCCTTAAAATATCCTTTTTGGTGCACTAAAGTCTAAGAAACAAGGGAGGGAGGGAAGGTCTGAAGATGAAGTTAAACTGGACGACTCTACAAAAGGCTTCCGCTTCATTGTGCGCACGATCGAGAGACGAATAAATTCAAATAAAGAATGTTTGATTCACACGCGCTTAATGAACAGGGATGGGGAACAGTTTCGGAGTCTTTCAGCGACTTGACCCACTTTTAGCGTGGCCACGGGCCAAGATGCAGGAAGTCTACAAAACTGTCACCCACACCTGTTCATTAAAGCCCAGTTGCAGCAAGCAAAAATATTTAAAAATTCAATTCAGTGACTTGGCCCGTGGACCAAGCCAGAAGTGGTTCAAGTTACTGGAAGATTCAGTTTCTAAACATTTAATTTAGTTGCTAAACATATCTGAACACAATAATTACATAATCGAGTAGGTTAGTAAATCGTTTAGGCCCAGAACAGACGGTGAAATGCAACTGCAACGAAACTGCAACTTTTTGATGATTTTGATGAATGAAACTGAAACTGAAAGTTTCAAACTGGTCGCGTCATGTGTGGTCTCTCAACGGACGCTATGGCAGAAACTTAGATGCAACTCAAAAGTAACTAGCAGTTGCAGTTTCGTTGCAGTTGCGTTTCACCGTCTGTTCTGGGCCTTAGTCGAGCCAATCCATTTCGTTGTATTTTAACAGGCGAGTAAGCTTAAAAACTCTAAAATTACTTTTAAACTGTACTAGACCAAAGTGCGAACGGTTTTTTGGTCAGAAGCGAGTAGTTTAGTTATTAACGGCGAGCTACTCTACTATGGTACGAACAAGGGTTTAAAATTGGTTTATAACGGTATAAAAATCAGCCCAAATCAGGTCAGTAGTTCAATCGAAAAAAAGAGCGATTAAAATTATAATTTTTCCAAGTTTACGACCCCTGGCTCCGGGTCCGTGCCACAGAGAATAAATTATTTTTTTCTCGGCTACCGTGCAGCGGCCAGTCCTTTTAATATCGCCGAGATTTATTACAAGTCGCGCGATGCCACTAAAAAAGACCTATAAAATATGGCCACCAATTTGTACAAATTAACTAATGCACGATTGCTGTTAAAATAACCAGCCAGTTTGTTGAACTCTATCTTAAACGAATAGAGTTGGTTTTTAAATGGTCAATTTTGAAATAAAAACAATAAAGTAAACAGCGTAGAGGTATATTTTACAAGGATAGATCGTTCGTAGTTTGTTTTTGTAATTATTTACTCGGGCTTTATCTTGATTAGGTCCAAGAAGTCACTGGAACAAAAAAGTTTCATAGATTTTGATTTTTCTAAAATGTATTTTTATGAAAAGGCTACTTTCCTATAGTTACCCGAAGTTCAGGTTAGGTAGGAATAATCGGAGTTTCCCTGCGTGATCGAATTGAGGAGATCCACAGGAGATGATTCTCAACCTTTCTCACTTAGGAGAACGCACCCGGGAACGCTCCCGAGAATATTCTCAGTTGGGAGAGCGTTCTCGGGAACGGCACATCAATAGACAGCCCACAAAATTGCTAAAATCAAGTGGCAGTGGGCGGGGCACATAGCTCGTAGAGCTGATGGCCGCTGGGGCAGAAAAGTTCTCGAGTGGAAGACCACGAGCCGGAAGACGTGGTGTGAGTAGGCCTCCCACTAGGTGGACCGACGATCTGGTGAAGGTCGCGGGAGGTGCCTGGATGCGGGCGACGTAGGATTAGTCTTTTTGGAGGCCTTTGTCCAGCAGTGGACGTCGTTCGGCTGAAACGAACGAACGATGATAATGATAATATTATTTTAAAAGTGTTTGATGAAATGGAATCAGAACTGAGGCGATCCGTAAACGAACTAAAGTCGCTGACATAGCCCCATGGATTAGCAAGCTGAAGTGGCAATGGGCAGGGCATAACTATGTTATAGTACGCAGAACTGACGGCCGATGGGGCAGCAAGGTTCCGGAGTGGAGGCTACGTAGGGTGATTGCTATAGTAATTGGCCTGTACATAGCTATTGGCCACCTTGGCTAAAATAAAAATAAACAAGCATATGTACGTTATTAATAGTGGAAAAGAGACACAAATACTTTCTCTGAGCAATACCCTATCCAATGTAGTATGTCAGAGTAAGAACAGATGGCACTCTAAACAGCAGAAGCTTTCTTTCGACAACGAGTCGTCCGAGTAGCCGCATGCTTGTCAAAATTTTAAGGTAAATATTCATGAATATTGTTCGTAATTTAATTGTTTNTCACCCTACCGGAAAACGCAGCGTGGGACGTCCACCCACAAGGTGGACCGACGACCTCGTAAAGGTAGCGGGAAGGCGCTGGATGCAGGCCGCCGCCACCAACCGGCCATTGTGGAAAGGGGGCGAGGTCTATGTTCAGCAGTGGACGTCCTATGGCTGGAAGGATGATGATGATGATATACACACCTGACAACAGTCTTCAGCTCGGCTGACTCGCAAAGGTTGTTGTGCCCGAGGCCGTTGCCTTTCTCGAAGGTGTGGAAGACCAGCGGCGCCGCGTCAGGCACCGACAGCCGGGAGTGGAGGACTGTCTCGTGGAGCTAAAAAAAATATAAAATAGGTATAAGACATAAACACTTACCCCCGTACTAATAAAACTTATACGCTCGTTGAATAGTGTTTTAAAGTGACGTTTAGTATGGAAATGTCATTTTAAAACAGTGTTCAATAACTGTGTAACTTTTTTATTAGTAAAGGGGTAAGTGTGGATCTGCTTTACATCAAAATATGTATAAGTTTCTTCAGAGGTAGGCTTGTTTTAGGAAGATTGTAGAGTTGGTAAACTTAGGGCTGATTTTCCAATCATCGAAAAACTTCTAACTTAATTACAAAATTGGCTTACTGACGAAATATTATGTCAAAATTTCCAGTTTATATTGTTCAGATAAACGATATCCGACGTCCGTCACCCAAAAGGCGATGTAGATAGCTTTGCTCGGGGTTACCCGTTGTGTTCGAATCAGAAACAAGAGCCAAGGGGAACTATAGGAGAGCCAAAGTGACCGATATAGCCTGCAGAATGGCCAATCTTAGGTGGCAGTGGGCTGGGCATATTATTGTAGAACTGATGATGGTAGTAAAGTTCTGGAGTAGCCACCCTGGATCAGAGACGTAGTATGTTAGGCCTCAGTGAACCGACACGATCAGTAGCCTTATTCACGCAACAAAACTTCAATGACAACAAATCGCTGAATTGCGATCCTATCGAGTAATCGTTCTATCAAAATGACCCTTGTGAGTACGCATTTAGTTCTGTTTTTCAATGGGACGACTTCTGAATGTCAGCGAGATCTTGGCTGTCAAAATACGTGAATTAGGGGGAGTCCATTAATTACGTGAGACGTTTAGGGGTGGGAGGGGGTCAAGAAAAACCTTACTAAATCTCACGTAGGGGAGAGGGGGGGGGGGTCTCAATAAATGTCAAGTAATTTTTTTCAGCAAGAAAAAGGGTCACATTGCGAGAAAACGTCCTCCTGCCCTGCAGCCATCAAAATTCGTTCGCCAACTTTGTTCATAGGTTTGATGGTAATCGAAGTTGGAGTTGGAGCTAAACCGTCTAAACAGTAAAGAAAATAGAAGAAATGATTTTTTCTCATATTAAATCCTAATCGAATCTAACTCTTACATTGCAAATATGTATTTTAAGAAAATTGGCCAAAATTGCCTCACGTAATTAATGTCCCCTTAGGCCACTGGTGAAAATCGTGGGAAGTACCTGGATGCGGGCAGCGCAAAACCGGTTGTTGTAGGAATCTTTGAGGAGGACCTTCATCCAGCTGAGGACACTTAGTCGAAACCAACAAGATATACGACTTGCTATAGATCTAGCGTATAATTGAATGAGTGCTCCAGTGCTCAGGCACTCCCATACCTACCTCAGGGTAGGTTAGGTATGGAAGCGGCACGGGCAGGGTGTTTTTGTAATGATTTTTTTTTATTTAAAACTTATATGCACATAGAACGGTGTACACAAGGCGGACTTAATGCCTTTTGGCATTTTCTACCAGTCAACCTTAGGGCCAAACTGAGAATAAAGTAGGCGGTATAGAATTACTTATGACGAATTTAGAAAAAAAATATTACATAAATAACATATGAATACATACATAGACACATACATATATTTAATAATAGGATGGATGACAAAGGGAGGGAAAAAAAAGAGAAGAAAAAAAAAAGGGGAAAAAAGGAGGTTGAACAGAAATCATGAAGATGAAACACTAGCGAGAAAATGTTTGCGCACATGAAATTTAAAGCTGGACTTGCTGGGAGCCTGCCTGACGTTTTCAGATGATGATGATGTCAAAAATGTCAGCGAGTATGTCAATGTTACCCCTCCCGTGCCTCTTCCATTACCTCAGGCACTGGCCACTGCATGAGTTAGGCGCTGGACCTTGACAATGAACTAGAATAAACAATACATGCAACAACAAACCTTAGCAGCCAAGTCATAAGGCACGATCTTGTCTCCGCGCGAGTGCAGCATCAGTATGGGCATCGTCGGCACCTTGCTTAGGTACTGGTCTGTCGTAAAAGCGTACTCCGATGACGCTGAGAACGGCTTCACGAACGTGTCCTTGTAATATGGCAGCCAGGAGACCAGCTGAGGAAGGAGCAATTTAATTATTCGTCTTCCCAAACTCAAGAAAGGAACCTCTTTTGCAAAAATGAGCCTTTAACAAAAGTAGAGAGGTCTCTTTAAAATACTGTTTAGAGCCATCTATCGGAGCGCTTGAGTAACACCAACTTCGGCAGGATTAAACTAGCGAAACAGCCCACAATACAAACCTATCGCCAAGCACTGCGTCGATTACAATACATCATGCTAAGCGTCCACAACAGAGGGCGCTGATCTAGTAAGCCTTGCATTTCATTAGGTATTAATGAGAATTCATTAGGTAGGTACTAAGAGAAAGAAAGGAAGATTTTTTTAAGGAAATAAACATACTGACAGTAGCTTCACAGTTCATTTATGAAAACCTTTTATATGTCCGCAAAAATATAGAGCAATTCACGAAAAAGAGCGATTTGCATAACTTTAATACAAGAAACAAAAATAAACTTGCCGTTCCAAATTTCAGATTGCATAAGATTGGTAATTCATTTATGGGAAAATGTATTAAATTCTTTAATAAATTACCACAAACTGTTGTAGAACTACCCATTCATAAATTCAAAGCACATATTAAAAGTACCTTAATGAAAAAGGGCTACTATAAAGTCGATGATTATTTAAAAGATAAAAATGTTTGGGATACGTTACTGCCTAGCTCGCATAAATATTTATAACTTTGTACATTTTAAAGCATGTAAACCTTTGAAAAAGAGGCTGACAATAGTGACTGAGTTTCTTGCGCTGCTTCTTCTCAGCACTGGCCCATTTGTTGTCCTGAAGCAGTGGTAGGGTTAATACTGGGACGTGTAAAAGTGCTTTTTTTAAGCCTATTTACAGAAATAAATGAGTTTTAATGAGTTTTTTTTTAGTTTTAATTTCTCGACGGTAAACTCCTTTTCCTTTCCGCAAAGTGACTGATTTTTCAAAATCGTATATGGCGCCTAGTTATTTACACTATTTGATTTCATTCAACGCCGCGTAACCGCGTGTGTAACGCAGCCTAGCCGCTACCAAACAACAAATTTGGAGTGTTTTATCTCCTTCGCTCCTCTAGAAATCCTCATTCTATCTCTTTCATAGACCTGTGAATGTTTGTAAGCGACGCTTCCCCTCCCGCCCGCGCCGGGTCAGTCACAGTCAGTCATACACAAACGTCAGTCAAGCAAGTGTGTGGTGTTTTCGTTCGTGTTGTTTAATTTAAGAAAAAACGTGTTTTGGTGAGTTTCTCAAATGTTTACTCTTTAAAAAATTAAGTTTATCGATTAATTCAAGTGTAGAAGTAACTATAGTCTATTTCACCTAAGATGATCCGTATGACGTTTCGAGTTTGAAAGATTTAGAGATGTCACATAACTAAACCATAGCGATTTATCTATCGATTTTTTTCGAAGAGTTAGTAAAACCTACTTTTAGAGAAATATTTTGTATAGGTGTTATTTAACAAATAAACATGTTTTTTTTAATTACAAATATTATTGTAACAATTTTTTATTGATAATATTCAAATTTCATGGTTCTTGTTAAAAAAAAACGATTCCTAAAAAGTACTGGTTCTGTTTCTTTAAATTAAAAACTATTAATTTATTTTCAATGCGTTTATTAAAGTCAGTAATCGAAAAATATAGTTGATTTTTGTGATCTCTTTAATAACTAAGTATTCACTGCAATCGATTAATGAACCGCGGAAATAATCGATTTTATTATACAAGAAATACCCCAGCACTAAATCTATTCCGTTTCACACATTGCGTACATTAAATAAAACATATTTTTACATTGTATTTAATTAAAATATAATCAATAGACTCAAATTTTACTATATATTTCAAGACAAGTAGTTAATTTTTTATTATTATATTGCTAATAAAATACAAATATTTTTCCAAAAATATTCTGCATATGTAGTATGCGTAATATGGATAACCTTGAAGTGTCATACGGATCATCTTACGTGAAAAAGACTATATGTAAGTATTTTTGACCAAACTTTCGATTTGGTTAGCTTTTTAAATACATCTTTATTTGGATTTCGAAGACGGGCTCAGCTGCTACACTAGCGCCAAAATATGATAACGCGGCTCGGCGCAGCGAGACCGCACTAACACTTTTTAGGGTTTCGTAGCCAAATGGCAAAAAACGGAACCCTTACAGATTCGTCATGTCTGTCTGTCTGTCGTTGGAGATTTCAGTCACTGTAGAAGTGGACTTACAATATTCTGTGTTCGTGTTAATTTATTTACTTTCCCAACGACGCCAATTTTGAAACACGCGCAGCGGATAAAAATGATAAAATGTGAAAAAAGTATAGTTATATTTTTTACGTAAATCGATTAAGTTAAGTACTGATTCGTAGTCGCGCCTAAAGACGGCAGAGTAGAATAGGTAAATTTGTCACCAACCCCTAATTTCTTCGCGGGTGTCTTAACCCACTTGTTACGGAATTCACTTTTTCTATCACTTACTTTAAATCAGTCATGATAAATTTATCTCAAAACAATCGCTCCAAAACTTTATAGTTATTTACGACAGTGTACTTATAAGACTTGGACAGTACTGCGACACACCTCATCTTTCAAATGTTGCATATATAAATTGTTTACACTACCCACATTAGTAAAAATATTTATGTAAAAACTAGCGTTCTTTTAAAAGAACGCTAGTAACAAGAGGCGACCTTGGACTACACATTTAACAAAGAACGGGCAGCAGCGCCCTCTGAACACGTGGTCCGACTGCTTTGTCCGTAATCGGACCACGTGATTTTTTTTTCCTGTTGGTTCGATTATGGAGTCGGACTATCAAGTCTTACCTACAACCACGTGTTCAGAGGGCAGCAGCTCTCTCTGATAAACATTAATCTTTTAAACTGCGATCTTCAACCCGCCTGCCAAACGTGGAGATTATGGCAAAACCCTCCACTATAGTGGAGGAGGCTCATAGCCCAGCAGTGGACTGTAAAGGGCTCTTTATATTGATGATATTTCTTAAATTAGGTACATAATTCCGATAGAATTCACAATATATCTTAATTATAAATTTTCCGTTTCAGACCGTATTTACAACCCTCTAAGTCTTGGGCACCGCAACCATTGATTTCTGACTGAGGTATTTATTTTTATTTATTCACGGACAATATTATTTGATCCTCTAAAAACTAATTGATCTTTTATGTATGTGCATTTTTAAAATAAATGATGTGTTTTATTATAAATTTTATCTTTATTTTATCGAATTATTTCAAAAAGTATCACAATATTGAAATTCATTGTTCATTTCTCTTATTTTTGAGGACCACCAATTAACGATCAGATATAATTTTTACATCTCAAAAAAATTTTGCGTAGTTATAAAGAAGTTAAAATATCTTTTATTTATTTATTTATTTGGAAACTCAACAGCTTGGTCGACAATTTACATGTTACAGAGTAGTACATTATACAGGGTGTTTGGCGCATCGTGTGCCAAAATGATTTGGCGGATAGAATGGGTTATTTCCTATATTTTCAGCCCCCATAACACGTTCCATGTCAGGCGGCTACTTTTATATTAAGTTTTTTTAGTAATTTCACCAAAATACCCAAATCGCATCATTTAATTTCGATTTAAAAAAAAACTACTAAGCGTAGCCTCAAAGTAAATATCTTGTTTTGACGTGCATTGACATAGGGTTGCATCAAATCTAAATTTACTGGNTTCAGTCCATTTTTAACTTTTCGGAAAAGTTCAAAGCTGAATTAAAAAAATACTAGATGATATTTGCCAGTAAATTTAGATTTGATGCAACCCTATGTCAATGCACGTCAAAACAAAATATTTACTTTGAGGCTACACTTAGTAGTTTTTTTTAAATCGAAATTAAATGATGCGATTTGGGTATGTTGGTGAAATTACTAAAAAACTTAATATAAAAGTAGCCGCCTGACATGGAACGTGTTATGGGGGCTGAAAATATAGGAAATGACCCATTCTATCCGCCAAATCATTTTGGCACACGATGCGCCAAACACCCTGTATAACTCTAGCCAATTACAGAGTCTCACAGCTAATTTAAGTGTGTAGGAACAACAGAATAAGTCGATTGATTTCTTTATTTTACGCCTCAAAGAAAGAGGATCAATCATTAAAATAGATGACCATTTAGATTTTTTATTTGCCGTTTTTGCTAATTTAAAAAGATCATTTAAATACTACATGCCTTTATTTACTAGCTGTGCCCGCGACTTCGTACGCGTCAAAAGTTCAAAACCCGTTTCGCAACATTTTTCATTTTTGCTCTGCACCTATTACTCGTAGTGTGATGGTATATAGCCTATAGCCTTCCTTGATAAATGGGCTTTCTAACACTGACAGTTTTTTTTTTAAATCGGACCAGCAGTTCCCGAGATTAGCGTGTTCAAGTAAACAAACACACAAACTCTTCAGCTTTATAATATTAGTATAGATTTTGAACTTAAATGCACATAATACATTGTACATAAGGCGGACTTAATGCCTTTCGGCATTTTCCTCCAGTCAACCTTAGGGCCAAACTGAAAATAAAGTAGGCGGTATAAAATTGATATTAACTTAACTTAGATGAAATAAGATACCAGTACCAGCAGAACCACAACCACAACTGTACGTAATTTACACAATATTATTTAATATGTATACAATATTATAAAAAAATATTATTATTTCAGAAGAATATATCGAAGAAATTGAGATGGAAGAACAACAGCAGTTGTTAAGTAAAACGTTGTGCGAAGAAAATGAAATCGCGCACTTTTTGTTTCCCGAGGCGCCGCCCCCAAAAGAGCAAGTTTCTTCTCTTCTTAAGCTATAACCGCATTCATGGTACAAATTAAGGCTTGTTCCTACAGGATGTCTCTTGTTTTTTGTGGGATCCCGTTTATTATTAAAGTCCCGCAAAAAACGATCTGTTTGAATTTTCAATTCGAATTTCAAACATGTGCACGATGGACCGTAGGGGAGACCTAGGAGAGTTG